CAAAATGCAAGTTAAAATATAAAATATTATACACTAGAAAGATACTTAATAGTTGAAATTTAGATTAGTTATTTTGACAATTAAACTAAGCATTTTTTTCATGTATTAGTTATATTGTTATAGGAAATAACCTATATGAAATATACTTTTAGTAATGCCATTGTTAAAACATTTACTTTAGATTATTTTACTTTAAATAAAGATTGTGTTCATAATAAATAACACCTAATGTATAAAACTATATTATATAAATCACATGTCCTTCTAAAAAGATATCTAAGATTTAGACAGAAAATAAATTTTTTCCTTAAAGTATGAATATTAATGTTTTATTCTTTTATCATATTGGTTATTCAGTTATTAGTCAAAAAACTTACCCTAGTTTATTATACAGAAATAAATTAAGATTACAGAAGCCATTATTTGGAACAGATAGCATATGGAAAAGTGTCTAGTAGTACTTTCTATAAGTATACATTGTCTTGGCATGTAGTAGTGAGATACTGTTTTGTCTTTCAATTTGATAAAATGTTGCAGAATCATTTATAAAAATTGCATGCAAAAGTTACATTTTTAAATTTTACAAAATTAAAACTTACTTGACATTCTGATTCTGGTAAATTAAAAAACTGTAAATTTACAACTTGAATTTTATCTTTTAGTGCATCATATAAAAATTCAAACATCAAATAGAATTAAAATTTATGGCATAAAGTATTCTGAAAACATTAGCACTTAAGTATTTTTACATGGAAATTTTTTGTTTTTGAATCATTATATTTTAAAGGTAAAAAAATTTCAATGGGAAAATGAGTTATAAAGAATATTTTCTGCATTGTTGAAATGGAAATATAATTACCATTAATTGATGATGATTTCTTATAGCTTTTTTTATTATTAACTGTTAACCATCAATCAGTTTACAAGACCATGTAACACATTTATTCTTGGTTCATCACTAGTCTAGTATAAAGTTAAAGCTTGTTGTTTAGAATACCTTTAAATCAGTGTGTACCATGCAATTGAGTAGTTTGCTTTGTATATCTAGATCAGTATTTTTCCATTTTGACAAGTTTAAAATTTAGGGCAGACTGAGAGACCACACCACAGCATAAGCTTAACACGTGTAATATTTTTTCAAATTGAAAATGGCTTCTCTTCCTGGAAGTTCTAAATTAGTTTATATGAGAATTTAGAGTGTGAGAAATGTCTAATTTGAGTGGTATGAAGCATATTTTAGTGGCACAAGTTACATAGAAAGTAATTACAGAATGATAAACAAGGCCAGTCAACCTCCTTTAAAACTAACAGCAAAATAAGTAAAAAATAAATATATTAGTGAATCAGTACTGGTTTATGTACTGTACAACATATTAATATGTTGCAAGAAGCCAAGATGTCTTGAATGAACAACAAAAGTTTGTGTTGAATACGCAAAAGAATTATATTATGGTACTCATGTTATATTTCCAAGAATTAGTCTTTCTTTTTAAATGTTTGTATAAAATATCTTTTAATTTTTGAAATAGAAGTTAAACTGTACTCGAGTTTTTATTTGAATTATAATTTAGGCTACCTTTATTACAAGCATAATGATACCTTATGTCTTCAATAAAAGTAAATAAATGTTTCTATGACATATTTTTTTTGCTTTTACAAGTTTCAATATCAATGTTTTAAGGTGTCTTTTACAATATAAGGAGAATTTGAAGAAAAAAAAAATATGTCATAGAAACATTTATTTACTTTTATTGAAGACATAAGGTATCATTATGCTTGTAATAAAGGTAGCCTAAATTATAATTCAAATAAAAACTCGAGTACAGTTTAACTTCTATTTCAAAAATTAAAAGATATTTTATACAAACATTTAAAAAGAAAGACTAATTCTTGGAAATATAACATGAGTACCATAATATAATTCTTTTGCGTATTCAACACAAACTTTTGTTGTTCATTCAAGACATCTTGGCTTCTTGCAACATATTAATATGTTGTACAGTACATAAACCAGTACTGATTCACTAATATATTTATTTTTTACTTATTTTGCTGTTAGTTTTAAAGGAGGTTGACTGGCCTTGTTTATCATTCTGTAATTACTTTCTATGTAACTTGTGCCACTAAAATATGCTTCATACCACTCAAATTAGACATTTCTCACACTCTAAATTCTCATATAAACTAATTTAGAACTTCCAGGAAGAGAAGCCATTTTCAATTTGAAAAAATATTACACGTGTTAAGCTTATGCTGTGGTGTGGTCTCTCAGACTGCCCTAAATTTTAAACTTGTCAAAATGGAAAAATACTGATCTACATATACAAAGCAAACTACTCAATTGCATGGTACACACTGATTTAAAGGTATTCTAAACAACAAGCTTTAACTTTATACTAGACTAGTGATGAACCAAGAATAAATGTGTTACATGGTCTTGTAAACTGATTGATGGTTAACAGTTAATAATAAAAAAAGCTATAAGAAATCATCATCAATTAATGGTAATTATATTTCCATTTCAACAATGCAGAAAATATTCTTTATAACTCATTTTCCCATTGAAATTTTTTTACCTTTAAAATATAATGATTCAAAAACAAAAAATTTCCATGTAAAAATACTTAAGTGCTAATGTTTTCAGAATACTTTATGCCATAAATTTTAATTCTATTTGATGTTTGAATTTTTATATGATGCACTAAAAGATAAAATTCAAGTTGTAAATTTACAATTTTTTAATTTACCAGAATCAGAATGTCAAGTAAGTTTTAATTTTGTAAAATTTAAAAATGTAACTTTTGCATGCAATTTTTATAAATGATTCTGCAACATTTTATCAAATTGAAAGACAAAACAGTATCTCACTACTACATGCCAAGACAATGTATACTTATAGAAAGTACTACTAGACACTTTTCCATATGCTATCTGTTCCAAATAATGGCTTCTGTAATCTTAATTTATTTCTGTATAATAAACTAGGGTAAGTTTTTTGACTAATAACTGAATAACCAATATGATAAAAGAATAAAACATTAATATTCATACTTTAAGGAAAAAATTTATTTTCTGTCTAAATCTTAGATATCTTTTTAGAAGGACATGTGATTTATATAATATAGTTTTATACATTAGGTGTTATTTATTATGAACACAATCTTTATTTAAAGTAAAATAATCTAAAGTAAATGTTTTAACAATGGCATTACTAAAAGTATATTTCATATAGGTTATTTCCTATAACAATATAACTAATACATGAAAAAAATGCTTAGTTTAATTGTCAAAATAACTAATCTAAATTTCAACTATTAAGTATCTTTCTAGTGTATAATATTTTATATTTTAACTTGCATTTTGTAAATGACTGATTTACTGAAAAAATATGAAATTTCTCAGAAAATGTTTATTAAATTAATAAAAATAAACAACTATCTTTCATTAAAACACTAAAAAAGTTAAAATTAATTTTCATTGTAAATTCTTAAAATATTTTTGAATTCTAAATCTTAATTCACTTCAAATGCAATTAAAAAATATTTATAAATGATAAAAAAAAATAAGGAATAAATTACGAGCAAAGGAAGGCATTGTAAAAAAACTATGAATACTGTATATTATGAAAGTGTAAGTAAACAAAACTTACTTGTTTTTCTCTTTCCCATTGATTAGTTTCTTCCATCATTTGTTGCTCCTAAGATAATGTAAAATCAGAGAACAGATTAGTTATAATTATTATTTATTTCAATTTTTAAAACTTCTTTCTCTGTTAAAATACTGATTAAAATATTTCGAGAGCTAGATTGTGGATAAATTCACTTTTACAGTTACAAAAAAAATCACAATCTATATTAAATTATACAACAAACAAAGTTTTTTAAAACAACAATTTGAAAGAATTTATTGTACATAATAATTTTGTTTATAAACTGATTTTTGTATGATTGTAGATATTTGTATGGTCAAACAAACATCATCTCTCTCAATTTAACATCTACTTCACTTATAAAAACTAAAAATTAACATTAACTTGTTAGTTAAAATTTTTATTACATGATTTGTAAATTTATATGTAAATAAATTGTTATTTCTATTGATATTACAATACATCATTTCAATTAAGGTAACAGTTTTATTCAAATAATAGCTACAGCTATTATTTTAAACTGTGTATTTTCCCTGTGGTTCTTTGTGGTAATTGAGGGCTGTTATTTCCATTGCAAGTATCAGCATGTGTCTATTATTAATGAAGTATTTACATATTTATTTATAAAAAATTAAATTAGATTTTCAAAACAAATTATACTTCAAATGGCAACTGGTATCTTTCTTTATAACGTGTTATTTTCTATACAGCAATAATAATAAAACAAATAGAAAGTATGCATACTTTATATTCTTTGTTTTACATATTTCATTTTCTATAAAATTTGTTTGCATAGTAAACCTATCTATAGTAGTTTATGATTATTTTTTATGTTTACATCATTTCCCTAAGTTTCCGAAATCGTTAAATAGTAGATGCGGCTACTGTTAAAGGGTGATCATTATTTGAATAAAACAGTATTTTAAAAATAGATTCCAATATCTCAAAACAAATGAATTTTGAGAAAAAACATAAAGATAAATATATAAATATATTTTTTAAAGCATAAGTGCAAGATATACATATAAGTATATATTTTTTGAGTTGTTTAATTAAATGCAATTTCTCACATTTTTAAAAACTGGGAACTTGTAGCAATTTTCAATTTATAAATATATTGACTTAATATTAAAAGAAATTAAAAAAATATTTTATAAGGTATAAAACAGTGTTTTTCAACCTGTGGGTTGTGACCCCCAGGGGGTCGCAAAGCCTTACATGGGGAGTCACGGGTAAAAGAAAAAGACAAGTGTTTGTAGATAGTGTTGCCCACTTTTCAAAATCGCTGATCTGGACGGCAGGTGAGGTTTGTTTGAACAGAAGTTCCTGATGCATGTGCAATGTCATTTTGCAATGCAAATAATGTGAAGTGAATGCCGGTTCTAAATCAGTTACAGTTAGGGACTAGGGAGACTTGGGTAGGAGTAACGTAAGTAGCATAAATTAAGAAAAACAACTAAAGATGATTGGATGGCTCTATTGGATATTGGAGACATGTACGAATTGTGCAAGCAAAGAAAAAAAAAAAGGTCGACAGGTTGCGCATGATATTCCTGGACAAAAAAAATAGTTCACCCAAACAGTGAGTCGATCCCTGGACTGTCTGGGTGGATGGAAACCGGACAGGTGGTAACCCTATTTGTAGGTCCTACACTACAATAAAAAAAAAACTACAATTTCAGTGAGAAAACTGTACCTGTTATTACAGTACAATTGGTTTTTCAATCAATATTTAGGTCTGAACAGAAAGAAAATTAAATACGTAGTTTTTAAAATCACTGATATAGTTTTAATATGGCCCTCGGGGATCACCAGAAGTTTTTAACTTGTAAAGGGATCGCGTATTCAAGAAGGTTGAAAAACACTGGTATAAAAATTTCTAGAGAAATTAAAATATTTTTATTCATATTTAATTTTTATTTCATTATCCTCATTCTACTTTATCAAGGAGAAAGTAACAAAAAATAAAATTTCCAAATATTGTTGAATGCACTTATAATAATAATTATCATGTTCCCCCAAATTAAAATACATTATGAAATGTTGATTATTGTAACCAGAGTTTCTGTTTTAATAATTGTTTTGTGATAATTTTCAACATTAAAAATTTATATTTATGTAAAAATGTAATTAATATAAAAAATAAATCACTATAAATTAAAAAAAATTATCATAGTTATGACATATTATTTTAAGTAAATTGAAAATTTTTAGACAAAACCACATACTTGTCTAATAATTTCTGTCTCTTCATCTTCACGATCAATTGAGGAAAGAGAAAGAGCAGATTTCATTATGTCTTCGATTTCTTCTGGTTCATAACCATCGCAGATTATGAGCTGAATCACGCTACCTGCATTACGAAGAGCGTGGACAGCTTCTTGATGAGAAACTCCCAAAAGTGAAGTACCATTCACCTTTAAAGAATTAACACATTTTAAAATATTTAATTAAAAGTAAAACAATAATTAAAAATATATGTACAATATGAAACTACTGCCAACAAATATATAAACTAACAAAATTTGGCAGTATTGATTTTGGTATTTCAATTTGTAATTTATTTACAAGATTTTTATTGATGATTAAATTATTAACACACACACACACTTCATTACATAAATAAAAGTGGAAAAAGTTTTAATCATTTACTTTATCACACAAAATATTATTTGTTTTAATGACAAATTTATTTACAACAAAATATTTGTAATATTTAAAATTTTACTTCTGTATTTAAAAATATTTCAAATTTAATACCATAAATTATTAACTTACATACAACAATATAAAATATAAGCTTCTAATTTTTTCACACAACTCATAATGAAATAATTGAACTTCTGTATAACAAATTTCTTCCAGAAAAGGTGGATAATTTATTAAATAAATTTTCCATTTAATGAGTTTTTTTTATCAGTAATAACATATTTTTGACATTCTATAAAAAAATTTGTCATAAAGAAAAATCCATTATATGGAACTTCATAATATGGAAGTTAACATTATTTGTTATCTACAAATTTAAAACTATTATTTTTAACTATAATAATCAGAAAAATTGATAAAATGATAAATATAAATAAAAATATTCTGACAAAACTTTAATAATTAAAAAACAAAAATACTCAATTAATTTTTAAAATTTTGTATTTGGTCATTATAGACTTTGTATAGAAAAAAAATTTTTAATATTATTTCTAAAAACAGAAAAAACCTTGAAATCTTTTTTAGTTTTATAAATTTTGCACATTTTATAATTCTGTTACCAAGAAAATTTAAATTTATAAAATAAGTCATAAACACACGTTCCTTGAAATACGCATACTCATCTCACCTTATTACTTTTATTTATTATAAAAATAATTTTGTTATATGACAAAAATACAGTTTAGGCTATTGGATGAGAAATAAACTGATGGAAACTGCATTATACATTATTACTGATAAAATATATATATTAAAAAAGAAAAATGTTTTGTTTTACCTCAATTAATCTCATTCCTGGTTTCAATCTTCCATCTCTTGCAGCAGCACCATTACTATTTATCTGAAAATTTAACATTATGTAAAATATATTTGAATATTTTCTTCATATTTCTTCACTTAAACTACATTACTAGAGGAAATTGTTAAAATTTTATAAAATTTAGTTATAACTATTTTTATGAAAAAGAAATTCAAACTGGAAAAATAATCAAACAATATCATGCACACAACCGTTTAACTTTCCAGCACAAATTTAATAATTGGACAAATGTTTTTTTTAAGCTGCTTTACAGATCAACTTCAGGTCTACCTATACATTAATTTTTTTTTTGTTCTATTTCTGGAACATTTGAATATGATAACAATATACACCACAAATTGTAAATAAAGTATAATATTCTTCACTTTATCCTAATTTAGCAATGTTACTTGTATAGATATAATAACCAATGTCAAATTGATGTTTCTGGTAAATTTAAAATTAAATTTTTATCAGTTTTTGTAAATAGAAATAAGTGAAAGTTGAATCAGTATTACACGATCAATATTTTTTTGTGTATTAAGTTTTTAATGGAAACCAATAATCACCAAGAAATTGTTTTATTTGAAAATACATCATAACTTATCTAAGAAAACATAATGTATTAATGTTCTATGGTTCTTGAATTGAACAGAATAAAATAAGTTTCAGGAAGAATAAACATAAATATCTTATCCAGATATATATATATTAGATTGAAATAACTTTGCCACCTATACTTGGTTGATATATTCTATTGATAAATAACTTAGTATTTAATGTAATAGCTTGAATATAAATGTAAAGGATAGGATCAAACAAATATTGTTCTATTGCTTAGAAATGAGTTCATTATTTGAAGTTTTCATAAATTTATTTGTGACTATCGATATATATAAAAATGAATGTATGTTTGTCTGTCTCCTTCATGCATTACTACACAATTTATCTGATTGCCATGAAACTTTGGGAAGTTGTTTAATACACTCCCGTGAAGGTTTCTGGCACAGTACATTTATCATATGATAGATGGCGTGCGTGTATACGAGCATTTCATCGTGAGCATTTCAACATGGTTAAGAGTTGAAACTTGAAATTTGGTACACAGTTAGGGTGCGTCACAAGAACGCATACTAACAAGGAATTTTTTGAAATCCCCCCACAGGGAAAGGGACAGGATTAAGGCTTCAATAATGGAAGTGTTAAGAGAAAGCAATGTGCAAGATTTACAGGCACAGATATGGTTTTTTGCGTTAAATCGAACATAATTTTAGATTCATCTAAAAATTTTCTAATTAGTCTGGAAATGGGAACCTAATTCCTGCATTCTGTGAAAATGGGTAAGATTGGCTGTAATGTAATNTGAGAATATTGGAAGTTATATAAACTTTTTCTCGAGGTTAGAAAATATGCAATTCTATCTCAAACTATCTATAAATCAGATAATTTCCAACATTGCAGCTGTGACATTATCAGTGTCTCATATTGTTTGCATCTGCAACTACTTACTTATGGTGGTTGTTGCTTCTAAACAGGTACAGATATTACCATATTACATTTTTTATTCTACTGATTTAGAAAATCTGCTACTCTAGTGTGTCTGGTCTCAAGCTTTGCCATATCAGTGAAATTCAATATATACTAACAAGAATTTATAAGGTAGAGAGCAAGTTGCAAGTCCCATTTCATTCCAAAAGTACTTACTGAATATACATTAATTTTATTAATATACTTGCATAGGAAGTCGTGCATGGAGAATTGGATGGAACTTTTTTGTTGTCCTTTATTATTTTCAAGGTCACTTAAAAACAAAATCATTTTTTACTCTTCGTGAATGTAAAGTTTACTTTTTAAAATATTAATACCTTGAACATCTGTTTTCACAATGCTGATTAAGAATCCAGCAAGTGGTTTTAGACTAATTAAATGAAACTTTTTAATTTTGTTATTGAAATTTTATGTTACTTGTTGAAAAGTTACAACATAAATGTTTTTGAAAATCATTTCTAATGTCAACAAAAAAGATTCCATCTATTTCTCCATATGTGACTTCTTACATTAATTTTGTTAATGTAGTTATCTATCTTCAGTATGTAAATAAATCACATCACCAACATTAAAACTCCAAAACCTTTAAACGTCCAGTAGTAATCAATTTAATAATAAACAAACGTTTTCGACCGTACTCTCGGTCTTCATCAGGTTTAAAATCAGTTAGATTCGAACCTGTGCAAGCGTAGAACAATGATTATGAAATTAATTTTGAAAAATGGAACAGCACAAACGGATTTTAAAAGAATACAGTTATGCATGTGCATTGCCATGGCGACGGAATGGCATATGTAATACATACAATTATATAAATATATATAAATAAATACACCAAACGGGGATGTGGTCTTTAACTGCTGGAGTGGGCGTCGCCCGTTACCTCATAGCAGTACTTCCAAGCGTGTGACACATTGACCGCATCATTAGCGTTAATGCAATTGGTGCGTAACCCGGCTTTGTAAATTTCCAGTGCCTCCAGATTTCGCAGGTGTTCCACCCGGTGAGAAAGTTTGATCAGTTTGGCCTCATGTAGGTCAGCTCTTATGCCGGGTTCAGTGGCATATGTTGATAGGGCGGTGGTGTGCCTTTTATTAACGATGTCGTATTTGTGTTCCTGCAATCTTTTATTCAAAGAGCGTTTTGTGGACCCAATATAAACTAATTCCCTTTGAAACCTGTTGTCCCATAGAGGGACCATGTAAACACCCGGTGCTTGCTTCTTATTGATTTTGTCTTTGCCATCGCGGAGTAGCCCATATACAGTGCTAGGCCTCTTGTATGCAATCTTAGTGTTAGTATGGGTGGCAATCTCCCTGTAAACTGAGTTGAGGTGATGATTGTACTCAACTACCGCACGAGACTGTGTGTTATTTACGTTGTGTGTTTCGTGGGCTGCTGCTTGTATGTTAGAAGTGCGCGTGAGAAGATTTTAGTCACATCACCAACATCAATAACCAGCAGAAACAAAAACTTTTATTGTACCTAGTGTTTTCTTCTATTTATAACAGACACTATCAGGTTTAACTGATGTAAAATGATGAACAAAAAAATTTAAAATTAAAATGTTAGAACAGAACGTTTTTAAAATTGCAGATCAAACATGCAAAGTTGTGCATGTCAGATACAATGCATTGAATTAGGCCAGTTAAAATAGTGCTCTCCAGGCTGATGAAATATCGTCTGTCTCCTTGAAGTTAACTGCTGTCCCTTTCCTGAAGACCTTGTAGATTTCTACTCTTTCCAGATGTTTCAGCTGAGGCATTTCTGTTGCATGGTATAGGAGTCATGCTCTATTAAATTCACTTGCATGTCATTTTCTAAAATGTAGACTGAAAGTGCCATGTTGGATTGATGTTCCTTAATTCTTGTGCAGAAGCTCCTAGTTATAGAACCAGTATATTCATATGAACCCTGTAGCCTTTGGTCCCAAATCAGAATACTATAAACTGGTAGGCATTTTCTCTCAGAGGGATCTTTTGCATTTTTAAGGAGTGAGAAAATCATATGATAATACATAGCATAATACATAAATAAATCACACTTTATGTATTAAGCTAGTATCTTGACTATTGGTCTTCAGTATGTTAGGAATGAAGAGGATTCAAGGAACTTTTTGACTCAACTTTGTATATTATATAGGCTATATACAGTCAAATCTCACTACAATGATATTTTGGGGACCAGGAAAGTAGTATTGTTATATCCAAGTTATTGTTGTAGCAAGTTGAAATTTAAGAACCAAGATCATTAAGAAAGTAAAAATTCATTTAAATATATTCTGCGCCTGCATTTCAGTAAACCAAGGAAATGTTGCACTGTTAACATAATCACAATTATGTGTCTTCAGACATTTTCAAGAAGGATCTAAGTTTCCATCCACTATACTGCACTCAATTTTTCTTCTGTTTCTTTAAAATTGTTGCTAGGATTGACTGAACAAAGTCATACTTTTTTGCAACTTCTGTTTGTTTCATTCCACTATCAAAATTTTTGAAGAGTTTCTAACTTCATTTCCAAACTTACCTGCTTTAATGCTTTTATCATTTTTTCCGTGACACATTAGTACTGTTTGTCTGGTGGGAAAAGGAAACACTGTGATTAGTCAGGTGCTTGCAGTTTCTCATAGTAGGGTTGCAATGTAGCCAATAGCTAATTGTGGGCAAACCATTCTGGAGTGTGGTGGGGGTTTATAGTTAACAAGATTAGTGAGTAGGTGCTCCTAGCTCTTTGCCACAGGTCAACTGCAATGAAGCATTTGAGTCAGCTGCAAGTTGTGCCAATACATCCTGATGATAATGTTGTGTCAGGGTTCATTGTAGCAAGTGATAATTACAGTATTTGTATAGGACTTTGGCCAGGATTGTGGACATTCTGTAATTGTTCTGGGATTTAATGTTGTAGCAGGTATTGTTTTAGAGCAGTTTGACTGTATTATGAATTCTTGATATATATTTATGTTAGTTTCAGATATATCAAAATCTGTTAAAATTTTTGAATATAACTAATTTAACAAATATAACTATATAATTAATCAAGTAACTAACACCTTATTCGTTGCCAAGGGAGTTTATTAAAAACTAACATTTTCGATCTACTCCAAAGATAATTAAAATTTTCAGCAATTTTTTGTAGTAGGATCTTATTATGTAATAACAAACATATTTTTGTGAAGTAAAAAAAACTGTCTTTCAATGTTAAAAATTCCTTTACAGTGATGAAATTAGAGCTTTACTGTAATTAAATTTTCTCTTTAGCAATAATAAAACAAGTTTTTTTATTCATAAGTGACATTTTTATTACATTTTTATTTATAATTTTTGTAATTTACATTATTGATTATTTTTATCACTCTTTTATCTACCTTTAAAATTGTTATATTTTTAATATCATCCATTAATATTAACATTTGAATTTTGATATTTACAAATTTTAATTGTGTTCTTTTGGTCAAATGAATTTTATAATGGTATTTTAAAGCATTCTATTTATTTAAATAAGATGTCTGTGCCACTTTGAAAGTA